TCCAGGCGCTTAAGGTCATCAAGGGCCCCATGGCGGTGGGGTGAGGCTGTCACGCTTTGCGGCCCGAAGTGCTGTCTATATTATGGTTTGTGCGGCTGTCTCCACGCACTTCTATGCACCATGTCACGATGAGATCGCGGTCTACGTGGACTTCGAAACTTCTGGATTGGAGATTATCCGCCACCGTACTCTGAGCATGCAGCGGAACACGCCAGGGCTAGCACAGTTGCGCGTGCCAGAAGGGTTGTAGAATCCTTGATGGCTTGGACCTCCAATTTGCTCCGCTCCTAGGCTCTGGTTGACACACAAGGGGGTCCAGCGACAAGGGGGTAGTGCAAAAGACTGGGTGCAACAGATTTGTGGGGTTGCAGTCGATTTGGGATGTGCTATGCATTCCAGTGCGCAAATAGATTGCTGGGTTTTCGAGTGCAATACGTTCGTTGCAATACAATGCGCTACAAGACTATGGCGCAATACATTTGCAATACAGTTGCCCCAAATCTGGTGCACCACCCCCTTTCAGCTGGACCCCCTTTTGGGTCACGAGGACAGGCGCTGCTGGGATGTGCTGCGCAAGACTCCCCGGAGGCAGGGGCTTCGGCCCAGCACACCGACTGCCTGCCTCGTCGGCTGCTTCGCTCAAGATGGCCCCAAGATGGCCTCCAAGCTCGCCCAAGATGGCCCCAGAACGGCCTCCAAACTCGCCCATGATGCTCCAATAAGGTGGCCCCGGCGACGGCCCAGAGGTGTCCAAGTGACTCGCTGGAGGAGTCCTCGATCCGCCGCCCCCTGCTGCTTGCAGCAGGGCGCCCAGACCCACGACGTCATGACTTTTCCATGGCACGGCCCCCAGTGGTCCGGACCCCTTCCCCGGGACTGGTGGGGGCCCCCCGAGGCGGAGAGCGGCGAACAGCTTGCCGCCAGGAGTCCTTCACGACTCTCGAGGGGGAGTCTGGGAGTGCCGGCGTGCCCGTCGTTCCCACTGCCCCGAGAGCCCTTCCCACCAGGTCTCCAGGCGGGGTCTCGGCCGCTCCGATCCGATCCGGCCGCCCAGGAGGCGCCGCCGAACGAGTCCCCCAAGGACCATCCTGCGCCTCCAGGGCGCCCAGGAGGGGTCTCCAGGAGGGCCTCCAGGGCGTCCCAGGGCTGACTACCTGCCGGACCCCCCTGACCCAGCTCGAAGATCGGAATTTCGGGTGGGGGGGGGGACGGGTTCCACATGTGTGGGTTTTTCAATGTTCCCCTACGTCCCCCCACCCCACTGGGAATGGAGGGCAGACTGGGGTCTTCGGGTTGGGTTGGGGTGTTTTGGTTGGCGAAAGACGGTGTATGATGGCCGTCAAGTCTGCCCAGGAGGCATCCACGACGGCCAAGATAGACTCCAAGTCGGCCAAAGATGACTCCAAGACTGCCTAACATGCCCTCCAGAGGCCGAAGAGGGCTCCGACAGGACCTCCAGGAGGCTCAAATCACTGATTCCCATTGGGATGTTCAATCGTAATCGCGTTCTCGCCATTTCGGGCTTCTCCCATTCGAAAACGGCCCCAGAAAACGTCCAAGATAGCCCCAATACGGCCCAAGACGGCCCAAAGAGGGCCCCAAGACGGAACAAGAGGGCCCCAAGACAGCCCAAGAGGCCCCCGAGACGACCCCAAGTGGGCCCCACGACGGCTCCTCCGAGACGGCCCCAAGGCGCCCGAGGAAGGCCCCACGACGGCCTGGAGTCCTCCTCCCCCTCCTCCTCCTCCCCCTCCCCCTTCCCCTCCCCCTCCTCCCCCTCCTCCTCCCCCTCCTCCTCCTCCTCCTCCTCCTCCTCCTCCTCCTCCTCCTCCTCCTCCTCCCCCTCCTCCTCCTTCTGCTGGACCCCTCGTGGTCGCAGTCGGCTGCTCTCCCCTTTCGGTGCCACGCGGCCTGCGCGCCCTGTGGCTGGCGCCCTGCGCGCTGGTAGTTGGCAGACTATGGGGCAACAGCTCCCGGGCACCCACCAGGTTTGGGTCAGGCGTGTCCTCCTGCAGGCGGATTTTGGAAGAACAAATAAAACATAGTCGAAACACATTCGAAATAGTCACAGCGTTGTCACGAAGTCGTCCCCATACTATTGTTTGACTCTTTTTGGATGTTCCTCTTGTGGGGGACATGCCCGACTTAGCACCAGGTGGCACCACGCAGGCATCACTTTCCCAGATCCCCTCGAGTCGTGAAAAAAATCAGGACGGAAAATGTTTCGCTGCTTTCGGCCTCTGGGCCCTTACTGGACCTCGCGTTGTGAAAAATCATGCCCGCAAGTTTTTCGCTACTTTCGGCCTCTGGGGGCCCTCACGGGGCCTCGGGACCATCAAAACACGACTCAAGAAGAAAAACCGGTCCCAGGGAATGGGTCCGGACCACTGGGGGTCGCGTCGTGGAAAAATCCTGACGTCGGGGGCCTGGGATGGGATCGCACCACACAGATTGCACCGCCCAGGCTGCTCCACGCACGTGCACATACAGTCGAGCTGCTGAAATGAGGAACGCTAAAGAAGGAACGAAGCCCTGCTGTGGCTTCAAAAAACGCCGGGGTGCACGAGAAGGGCTGGAGGAATAGCCACGGAAGGACGTCCCTTCCGAATCCAAACTGTTCCTTATTTCAGCGTCTTGGCTGGATACGGGCAATTTCGGAAACCCTGAACCCGAGAAAACGTTGTTATCTCTTGGGGGCGCATGTTTTGCTTCCGCCGCCTTTCGCCGAGCTTTCGCTGGCGTCCGCCGGCAGAGGCGGCCTCGTGCTACTTCCGCCGACCCTCCGTCGGCCTCGGGCGGCGGGCGCGAAGCCCAGCCATCTGGGGCGCCTTCTGTGCCGCCTTCGCTCTCTCTTGGGCCGTCTTGGGTCGTCTTGGGGCCTCTTTTGGGGGCCTCGTGGGCCGCCTTGGTGCGATCTTGGGGCCCTCTAGGCGGCAACGTGCTAACATTGTATACACATATATATATATATATATATATATTCCCCAGGGAACGGGACGGTTCAGCCTCTTGCCGCCCTCTTAAGGGTCCTCTTGGGGCACTCTTGGACCTCCTGTGGGACCTCTGGGCCGTCTTGAAGCCATCCTGAGCGTTCTTGCAGCGCTCTGGGGACGCTCTTTGGTCGCCTTGGAGGCCTCTTGGGCCGTCTGGAGGCCTTCGTGGGTGCTCTTGGAGCGCTCTCAAGGGTGAAAAAGCCATCCCAAAACGAAGAAGAAGGGCCCTGGGCCTTCGGGGCTACATTCGCTACCCAGGCGGGGGAACTATGTCATTGTGTGCCAGGGAAGGCCAGGGACCCAACACTCCGACAATATGAAGTAAATGTGTATATGTATGTACAGACACATACATCGACACACACATACATACATACATACATACATGCATGCATGCATGCATGCATGCACGCATGCATGCAGACATGCAGACATGCATACGTACACATACATACACACATACATACATACATACATACATACATACATACATTCATACATACATACATACATACATACATACATACATACATACATGTATACATACATACGCACATGCACACATACACACAAGCATACATAGACACATGCATGCATACACACATACATGCTGCAGGCATACATAACTACGTGCACACTTAATTCTATGCATGCATACGTGCAAACGCACGTACATACACGAATACATGCATGCATACATACACACATGCATACATACACATACATACATGCACACACGCATAATACATACATCTACATACATTCGTGCATGCATGCATGCATATATGCATACACGGATACGTGCATATATGCATACCTACATGTATGTACACATCCATACATACATTCATGCATGCGCACATACACACATACAGCCATCCAGGCATGAATTCGTGCATACACGCGCACCTGCACCATACATACATGCACACATACATAAAACCACACCGGCATACATGCACACATGCACGCATACATACACACATACGCACATACATGCATGCATGCATGCATGCATGCACACATACATCGATACACGCATGCATATATAGTGCAGTATTTACTTACCTGTATGCGTTCATGCATACTTACGTACAAGCATGCATGAACACATGCATGCATACATGTACGCATGCACGTATGCACGCGTGCATGCATACAGACACGCTTACATACACACATACATACATATACGCATACGCACACACATACATACATACATATATACATACATACATACATACATACATACGTACATACATACATACATACGTACGTACGTACATATATACATACATACATACATACATACATACATACATACATACAGGCATACACACATGCATACAAGCATGCAAACATGTATGCATACATCAATGCACACCCGTGTGCATACATACCTATATACATACATACATTCATGGATACATCCATACATGCATACAACTATACATACACACCTGCCTACCTATCTGCATTCATCCACACATGCATATTATAATACATCCATATATGCACACATACACACATGCATACATACATACATGCATGCATGCATACATATATATATATACACATACGTACAGACATACATACATGTGGAAATGCCGACTGCACAACATAAGATGCACCACGCATGTTGTGCCACATCGGTTGCATGACCGTTGTAACAGCAAACAAGCACGTCTCACACCAAATATATCTGGCCCGCCTCCATTTTGTAGCGTTGCCAACTTGCGTCGATCACACACCCGTGTTGGCCGACATGTTGTGTGACCTTTCTCGGGAACCCTCGGGGGGAGCCCGACGGGGCAAGCGTGACCCCGTGTTGGCCATGAGCGCCGTTCCGATACAGAGCCCTTGTGACGCGAACAAAATGGACGGTGCCATATCGCACACTGAGAGGGCTAGAGCCTGCTGCTAGGGGTCCACGTGCTGACATCACTGATTTAAGTCTCGTTCTTCCGAAATTTCGCGGAAGACGAATGCCAATGGCGCACACAAAGCCTAATCCCTCAAACTAGACGTCGGCATGACAACCACTCTGATCATGTGATTGAAAAAATCGCTGTACCTTGTGTGACACTCATCTTCTCCATCTGTCATCTGCATCCCACGACCAAGACCTCCAACTCCAAGAGCCGGCCTCCGACTCCCAGCCGCCGCGCCATTGCTGTGAGGACCAGCCCCAGCAATCATCTTCTGGCCTAGCGCCACGAAAAGAAGCCGTGCCGCCGCGTTCCCCTCTCTGCCCAGTAGTGCACGGAGTGCACGTCCCCTGCTGCAAATCCAAGGCCTCATCGTCCAGCGGTCGCGTGCACTTCGCACAGCGCTCCACGAGGCCACGTCCTTCGCGGGCGGTGCCAGCCTTGCTGGGCGCCTCAGCCCTGGGACGTCGGAGCTCTGAGCCTCCGTGTTCTCGCCTGCCTCCGCGCTCGCTGCCAGCCTCGTGCCCCCCTCGAGCGCGCACCTCTTCTCCGCGCCCCCCTCGAGCGGGCAACTCTTCCTTGGCTTCTCTGCCGTGGCCGCGACCACCACCACAAACGCCCTTATGCAACCCCTTGGCCGCAGAGCGGCTGCCAGCTCCCAGTGCAGTTCCGGAGCTGCACCTCGTGCACACAAACTGCTGCGTCTGCAAAGCAGCATCGTCAAGCGGACGAGTGCACTTCCCACAGCGGGCTACCTTCACTGCGCCATTTCCCAACAAGAAGTTCGTCTGCGCGGAACCGTCCTCACTAGGCAATTGCGAGGACAATCCACCGCCCGCCTCCTGAGCCAAGCGACTGCGCAACCGGTCGTTCGCCTCCCTGTCGAGACCGCCGTGACCTCGGCCCTTGCCCGCCCTATATGTGCCTTCTGCCATCGCGCAGCAGACGCGCAGCAGCAGATGCAGTACTTGAGCCGTCGTCAGCCGAGATGGCTACTGTTCAGTGCAGAAGTTACAATGATCTGGGGGCGGGGTCCGCATCTCCAATCGCAATCGATCGCACGGTTCACCTCCTAAACGACCTCAAAGGGACGGCCCTGGTGCAAGAGCCAGAACCTGGAGATGAAACCATGCAGCGCGGGTCAGGGGGATGTTGGCATGGCCATGGGTGGGAATGTTGGCGGGGAAATGGGTGAGAGTGCGGCATGGTTGTGGGTGCGGGTATGGCTACGTGTGTATGGGCACGTGCTTGGGTGTGGGTGTGGCTCTTTCCCCGAGTCGAACACTTTTGACAGACTTCTTGCAGCGTGCCGGCTTGAGACCGGCACTACATTTGGAACACAATGGATGTGGATCTGGGTGTGGGCGGGGGTCTGGGTCCTGGTGTGCCCTGGGGGAACTGAGCATTCCAGAACTGCCTGGGTGCATGCGTGTGCGTATACCCCATTTGGCGAATCATGCATCGACAAGTCTATCCTGAGAGAGTCGAGTCAGGTGCTCCATGTGTGCATTGTTTTATGGGTCCGCGCGCGTGGTCTGGCGATCGATGCTATGTGATTGGGGCTGAAGGGTGGGGGGCTGGAATTAGGTCGACTCCGGAACATGGGAGCTGCGTACATAGGAGGAGGATGAGGAGGAGAAGGAGGAGGAGGTGGCGAGTGAGCAGAAGGATGCGCAGGAGGAAAAGGACGAGGATGAGGAAGGACGAGGACGAGGACAAACGGCAGCATCAGCAAGAACTGGAGTGGAAAGAGCGGACAGAGTAGGAGGACCAGGGGAAGGCGGAGGAGGGAAAATGAGCAGAGCGAAAACAATGAAACAGGACTCGGATCCAGAAAAGTGGCCCGCTCTGGGGCGAGAGCGCCATTCTGAACGACGGGAGCAAAGCGCCGATTCAAAAACGAGGCCCACGCTGCAGCGGGAGCACCAGTTTGACACATCATAAACAATATGACGGTAACAACAATAAGAGAAGCACTACGCGTAGAGGGCGGAACATTCTCCAGACAAGAGCCGTACTCATATTAGAGCAAGTGTAAGTCAACATTGGACAGGCAACAAGCGGGAGGAAGCGGTAGGGAGGAGAGGGAAGTGACAGGAGTAGCGGAACAACACAACGGCATACACATAAGCCGTCGGAGCTCCGCGCGGAAATTCTTGGACCGGCGCAAAAGACCCCCCCCCTCCCTGGCGCGCTCCGCGTGCCAGGGGCGACGCCGGAGGCGCCGCCAGGAGGGCTCAGCGCCGATCCAAGAAATCCGCGCGGAGCTCCGACAATGGATGTTTGCAGTTGGACCCAGGACAGAACAACATCTTTCAAGAACACGAGACCCTCCGCCGGCCCAAACGCACATAGCATCCGAGGACGCCCTCCCCAGGAGGCACCAGAGCGTCCAACAGAAGCACGAAGAACACGAGGGCACCCTCCCAAAGCCGACCTCGATGTTATACCTCGGTCCGGCTGTATGTACGGCAGGTCCGTGCCGTGTCGACCCCGGCGTCGGTTCCCGACACCGCGCTGGATCGTTCAACCTTGAACGATCGGCCGCTGCCGCAACGTCCGATCGTTCAACATCGACCGATTCTGGGCCGCCGGCGGCGTTCAACCTTGAACTCCCCGCGTTGGGGTCGCCGCCGGTCGACATGACGCGAACCTACCGTGCCTCGGTCCGACTGTGTGCCATTCTTTGCCCTCCGATGGAGGAAGAGCACTGGGCACCCTCTCTGGGCCGACCAATCGACTCGATGCCTCGGTCCTCCGACTGTACGCCGGTCTCTGTCCTCCGACTCTTCGAGGGCGCGCGCCCGCCCTGCGGGCACCCTCGAGCGCACCGCGGACACGCGCAGCTGCGGGCCCCCCGCGCCCGCGGGGCGGGCACCCCGTGGCGCCCTTCCCCCCCCCCCCCGAAGGGCGATCGCGCACCCGCCCTGCTCCCTGGACCCCCGACGTCGGGGCCTTTTCCCCCAGTGAAGAGGAGGATGAGGGGGAAGGGGAGGAGGAGGGGGAAGAGGAGGAGGAGGAGGAGGAGGAGGAGGAGGAGGAGGAGGAGGGATATGCGGAGAAGAAGCAGGAGGGATAGGAGGAGGGACAGTGCGTCGGACCCCCAGGGGCCTCCGCTCTTGGCGGCGGGCGCTAGAGGGGGCATGGGGAGAGGGGGGAAGGCTTCCCGGAGGGAGGCCGCCCCCCCCCCCCCACGGCCCAGCCGCCCTCCAGACCTCCGACGTTGAGGCCTTTTGCCCTGCGCTGGCCCCGAACAGGCATCCGCCCCCCGGGCCCCCTGGTGGGTGGCTACGTCCGAGCCCCACCCCCACCGACCACCGCCTCTCCCGACCCGATGGGAGGCGGGGGCAGGGCTCGGACTTCGCCGCGTGCTCTGCGGATTCCGAACCCCATCCCCGCAGCCCATCGAGTTGCCTGAATCGTTCATCGGCGAGGGCAGGGTTCGGTTCTCGCCGCCGACTAGGGCCGGCTGCTCATCCCGGGCCGTGCCTTGACGCTCTCGGGGCCCCGCGAGGACCCCGGGAGGCCGACACTGACCCAACACCTCCCGCCGTCTTGCCTCTTGCGCGCCGAGAGGACGTCGGTGCCTCGCGTGCCGCCAGAGGAGACGCAAGCAGAGGAAGAAGCAGAACAGGAGAGAGGGAAGGATGAGGCAACCATCGCAGTGCTGGGAGGCTTCTCCTCCTCCTCCTCCTCCTCCTCCTCCTCCTCCTCCCTCCTCGCCTTCCTCCTCCTCGGTCCGCCTCTCCCTGTCCTGGTCCTCCTGCGCCCCCTCCCCTGAGGTCCGCCGCTGCGAAAGAACTGCGACATGGCAAAAAATCGAGACCGGAGCCCCAGACCCCATCCCTCTGTATCACTTTTCCAGTCGGGTCGATCTGTGAGGTCCCGAGGCCCAAAGCTGGGCGAAAACGCCCGTGGTGCAAAACAAAATTGCAGCGCCAAAACCTCAGGGTCGTCGTCGTCGTCCTCCTCCTCCTCCTCCTCATCCTCGTCCTCTTCCTCGTCCTCCTCCTCCGTCCGCCTCCCCCTGTCCTGCTCCTTCTCCGTGCCCTCCTCCTGCCTCCCTGAGATCCTGGCGCTGCAACGGTTTCACCACGGGCGTTCTCGGCTCGAAAATTGACGCAGGAAGCTGGGGTCCGGGGCTCTGGTTGTGATTTTTCGCGATGTTGCAATTTTCTTGCAGGAAGAGGAGGTGGAGGAGGAGGAGGAGGAGGAGGAGGAGCAGGAGGAGGAGGAGCAGCAGGAGGAGGAGCAGCAGGAGGAGGAGGACGACGAGGAGAGAAGGAGGAGGAGGAGGAGCAGGAGGAGGAGGAGCAGGAGGAGGAGCAGGAGGAGGAGCAGGAGGAGGAGGAGGAGAGAAGGAGGAGGAGAGGGGACGCACGACGACAACGGCGACGACGACGACAACGACGACGATCTTTCGCGATGTTGCAATTTTCTTGCAGCGCCGGATCTCGGGGCTCCGTCCGCAGCGCCCCGATATATTGGCGGCGCGCACAAGGGGGTAGGGGGAGGGGGGAAGGCGTCTTAGAAGGAGGCTGCTACTTAGAAGGCGCCGGCCTTACATCTATAGAGATGGCCCGCGCCTTCTACGAAACACGGGTGTTTCTAAAAAGCCCTCCCCACTCCCCTCACCCCCCTCTGCGCGCGCCCCGATAGAGGCGTCCTCGGCCAGCGCCAGGCGCTCCTTCCGCGCGCGCTCCGCGGCGGCGAAGACCGCCTCCTCCCGCGGCGGCGGCGCGGCCCCAGGCCCTTACGGCAGTCTCGCGTCGTGTCGACCCAGAGGGAGGAGGAGGCGGAGGCGGAGGAGGAGGTGGAGGAGGAGGTTCCTGACACCGCGGGGACCGACCAAACTTGAACGATCGGCCCTCTCAAAAAGGCCGGCTCGTTCAAGGATGGGCCGATTCTGGGCCACGGGCGGCGTTCAACCTTGGACGCCCGCGCTGGGGTCGCCGGTAAGCAACGCGACGCGAAGCTGCCGTACGTGCTGAAGTGCGCCCAGGGGCGCACCAATGAGACCAGACACAAGTCCCAGGATTCCCCCTTATATCGTGCTATTCTCTGGAGCTTCGCCTTCCCCCCCTCCACACACTTCCAACCTTTTCGATTTTTTTCCGGGGGCATCGACGATTCGTTGTGCCTGTGTGTTTGTTCCCCTCCTGATGATGGTGGGTCGGGGGACCCTGCACCCCCAATTTGGGGTGAAGAGCGTGAGGAGGAAAAGAGGGAGGAGGAGGAGGAGGCGGAGGAGGAGGAGGAGGAGGAGGGGGAGGGGGAGGAGGAGGAGGAGGAGGAGGAGGAGGAGGAGGAGGAGGAGGAGGAGGAGGAGGAGGAAGAGGAGGAAGAGAGAGGAGGAGTTACGGAGTTACGGATGTTGCGACTGTGTCGGCTACTAAGACACCCAAACAGCAAACTTAAATGGCCCTACCCGCGGCGGCACGCTTGACTCGCTCAGCTTTGCTATAAGATTTGGGCCATAAGCCCTGTTGCAAGCTATTAAGGTAGCTACGCTTGGGCTCGCAATCGTTGGATAGCTTGGCTAGCGGTTCCGCTGCAAAGCTCCCACAGGCTGCACATAACCAAACCCCTAGTCCAGCGTGGTATTTAAATTGGAGAGACCCATGCCCATCCCCCCCCAACGTGCACCAGCTGCCCTGGAAGGGGGGTCCCAAACTGCACCGCCAACAATGGAAAGCGGGAAAAACGGAGAGTCCAGCC